ATCTGGTGAGATCGACAAACGAATCTCTTCATCATGTATTTTCATTCGAAATGAAGGTCCCCCTAACAATCTACTAATATCATTGTGGGAAAATTTTACTACCAGTCCTTCATCACCTTAAACGAAATAGAGTAAATACATCTCATATTTCTATAAGATTTAGACAATTAGTATGCTTATTTTATACTTATTTTTATTACCCTACATTTATTATAGCCTTATTGATGTGTTGTTTAGTGAAATAATGAAGTATTTGTGTATAAAACAGGCCTAACCTCAGTATTAACCTCCGTTGCTAAATTTGTCTATTGTACCTATTTAATGAGATACTGAATTTAATTTATTTTTAGGTGCATTCTGTCTTTTGCGGAAATTATTACGTTTAGCGCTGTGGGGCTCTCCGATTCAGTGCTCGCCCGGCAAGACTGTAGCAAGAGTTGCATAAAGTCAATATCAACGCTAAGACCCATGCGCGATAACAGCTTACTATAGTTTCCTTTATGCTTTAGTCTCTTTTTCCTCGGTTAGCGAACGACATAAAGCTTTATGGACAGTGAAAATGGGGCTATTCAACGGCTTGCTCTCCTCGCAAACACATGTTCTCATGGCGGCTGAGCAAGGCGCTTCGATCGATAGGTTGACCTTTGCCTTTGTGTCCGGCCAAAATGGGCATTTGTCCTCCGGACTTACTCCTACTCGTCTACTGTGCACATGTGAGACTGTAGTTGAGGCGTTTCGTGCAGCCATTTTGCGACCACCAGCATGGAGACGAAGGAGGTCAGTGAGAGTGTGAAACTCCTCCCACCGCTGGTATATCCAAGAAGGCAGACCTTTTTGAGGCATATTGAGGCGCAGATGAACTCCACGAAAGAGGACGACAGACCAAAACTGATCATAGCTGAACCGATTGAATACCTCCTGGAACCGTTGAGAGAGAGTAATCCGTTCACCAGGATCAAAGCAAATCGGATTTCTGTGCTGAAAGAGGACTTAAACAAACGACGAGATGCGGAGAGCCAGCGTTTTCGTCAGGAGCGAGACCCCGCAAAAAAACTGCCCATCGAGCTTCGCCAACGGTACACCGCGCACGCCAAAGTCCGCGAATTGGTCAAGGAAGAAGACCACCAAGAGCTTGAGCA